CATTACGGCCGTCATCATCACCATCATCGTCATCGTTCACCGCCCATACCTGCACGCCCTCACCGGGTTCGTGGCCCCATAGGGAGCTCCACCGAAGGCCCCAGAGGCAGGGTTCGCATGCAGTTCCACCCTAATTTCGGCGCACCTCTCACACGGTTCGTGGCCACATAGGGAGCTCCACCGAAGGCCCCAGCGGCAGAGTTCCAATGCAGTTCCACCCTCATTTCGGCGCACCCCGCACACGGTTCGTGGCCCCATGGGGGCTCCACCGAAGGCCACAGTGGCAGGGTTCGCATGCATTTCCACCCTCATCTTGGCGCACTCCTCACACGGTTCGTGGCCCCATAGGGAGTTCCACCGAATTCCTCAGTGGCAGGGTTCGCATGCAGTTCATCCCTCATGTCGGCGAACCCCTCACACGGCTCGTGGCCCCATAGGGCGCCCCATCGAAGGCCCCAGTGGCATTTCGGCGCACCCCTCACACGGTTCCTGGCCCCATAGGGAGCTCCGCCCGAAGGCCACAGCGGCAGGGTTCACATGCAACTCCGCCCCCATTTCGGTGCCCCTCTTACACGGCTCGTGGCTTCATAGGGAGCTCCACCGAAGGCCCCCGTGGCAGGTTCGCATGCAGTTCCACCGTCATGTCGGCGCGCCCCTCACACGCTTCGTGGCCCCATAGGGAGTTCCATCGAATGCCTCAGATGCGCTTGCAGTTCCACCCTCATTTCGGCGCACCCCTCACACGGTTCGTGGCCCCATAGGGAGTTCCACCGAAGGCCTCAGTGACAGGGTTCGCATGCAGTTCCACCGTCATGTCGTCGCACCCCTCACACGGTTCGTGGCCCCACAGGGAGCTCCACCGAAGGCCCCAGAGGCAGGGTTCGCTTGCAGTTCCGCCCCCATTTCGGTGCCCCTCTCACACGGTTCGTGGCCCCATAGGGAGCTCCACCGAAGGCCTCAGTGGCAGGGTCCGCGTGCAGTTCCACCCTCATTTCGGCGCACCCCTCACACGGTTCGTGGCCCCACAGGGAGCTCCACCGAAGGCCCCAGTGGCAGGGTTCGCATGCAGTTCCACCGTCATGTCGGCGCACCCCTCACACGGTTCGTGGCCCCATAGGGGGCTCCGCCGAAGGCCCCAGTGGCATGGTTCGCATGCAGTTCCACCGTCATGTCGGCGCACCCCTCCTACGGTTCGTGGCCCCATGGGGAGCTCCACCGAAGGCTCCGGTGGGAGGGTTCGCATGACACCACCGCGTCCAATCCGGCGCACCACTCACTTGCTTCGTGGCCCCATAGGGAGTTCCGCCGAAGACTCTAGTTGTAGGGTTCGCATGGCACCACCACACCCAATTCGGTACACCCCCTCACACATCTCGTGGCCCCAGAGGATGCTCCACCGAAAGCTCCAGTGGGAGGGTTCGCATGGCACCACCGCGCCCAATTTGGCACGCCCCTCACAAGGTTCGTGGCCCCACAAGGAGGGAGCTGCACCGAAAGCGGTATCCACAATGCGGTACTCACAGCTGCATGTGGTTGGGTCTTTCGTCAGGCTAATTCCCCTTCGGGGAGGGGCTGACCACTGTTGCTTACTCATACCTATACGACCACCCTTCGGGTGATATGGAGGTTCGGGTGGGGTAGGGGGGGAAACCGACGTCTGACTCAATGGATCGCACTATCCATCTCACTACAATACCGATATCAGTATCGATCTAAATATCGATCTCACTATCGATTTCACTATCGATCTCACTATCGATCTTACTATCGATATCAATATCCCTCTCGCTGGCGATCTCACTATCGATCTCGCTATCGAATTCACTATCGATCTCACGATCGATCGATGTATCAGTCTCACTACGGGGCACCGACGGGACACCAACGGGACATCACTATCGATGTAGTTATCGATCTCACAATCGATCTCACTACAGATCTCACTATCGATCTCACTATCGGTCTGACTATCGATCTCACTTGCGATATCACTATCGATACCACTATCGACCTCAGTCGAACCCACTATCGGTCTCACTATTGCTCCCACTATCGACCCCACTACAAGACACCAACGGGACACTGACGGGGCAACGACGGAACATCACTATCGATATCACTATCGATCTCACTATCGATCTAACTATCGATCTCACTATCGATATCGCAATCGATCTCACTATCGATCTCACGATCGCTCTCGCTATCAATCTCGCTACCGATCTCACTAACGATGTCGGTATTGATCCCACTATCGATCTCACGACCAATCTCACAATCGATCTCACTATCGGTCTCACTATCGGTCTCACTATCGATCTCACTACGGGACCCCGACGGGACACCACGGGACACCACGGGACACCGCGCCACAGAACACCACGGGCCACCGCGGGACACCGCGGGACACCACGGGACACCATCTGGACACCACGGCGGGACACCCCGCGGCCACCGCCCGCCACACGGCAAGGGTAAAACAAACTTCTATCCTCGCCGCGCCCCAGCCAAAGGAGGACTCATTCCTCTCGCCCACCGCCCACCCACGCAGCTCTGCCTCGCACGCGCGCACCACGCGAACCCGAAACGAAACGGATTTCCCAGTGGGGGGCTCTCCGTTTCACTACGATCTCACCCCCTCACCTCCGATACAATTATCGTGCTACCCTAAGGAGCGCATAAGAAAGAACGAAGATCGAAGGAGCTTTTCTGTCCACGGCGGGCCTAAGCCACAAACAGGCTCCACGACATCAATCTAAGGAACGGCCCGAAAACCCGAGCCCCTCCTGAGCTCCCAGAGCGGTCCCTATTCCAGTGACTTGACTGAACACTCCCTCCCTTATCCAACCCTGAGACCCCAGGACG